TGATTGTCTGAGTTAGACATTTTGTCCAAACGTTTTCTTCTGGATAAAGGTTGGTTGCTGTTGATTATCTTACCACTTCTCAGGTTCATAAAACAGCAAACTTCTTATGTTCCTGCGTTTCTTGGATGGCTATGTCTTGACAATTCTTAATTCTGATATCCAACTATTGGTCCCACCAGGTGTGCCAATTTGTTTCCAGTGATTTCTGGGAAACAACCGCTAGTCTTCCAAACTATCGAATAGTCTTTATTAACGCTACTCAATCTCTTTGGTAACTCACAGGATCGACTAGATTGATCCTAGGACTCCTTGGATATCAAGGTTACTCTCACAATCGAACAATTATTCATGGGTGCTATTGTATATATGTTTGGTTTGTTTCGATCCCTCTCTCTAAGAGTTTAAGAATGTGGTCAAAATGTATGTGAAAACTAAGTTACACGAATGATTGCTAATTGTAATGCTAATTGAAAAGACATAGAAAACTGTATGGAAAATGAAGTAACTGATTTCGATCCATAAAACATTTAACACAAAAGGTTTCTGGAATGTAGAAGTTTAAAATATGAAGAAAGCGTTTAATGCAAGAAATCTAGAAAGGAGTTTAAGTGAAAGTGCAGGTTTGAAGAATAATGCTATGAAAGTAAAGATATTTGAAAGCGTAAAAGTTCTCTGAAACATAAAGTGCTTCGAAATGTAAAGAAAGCAGTAAAATGTAAGACTTTGAAGAAAGGACTTTGGAATGAAAAGACAGTAGATAAAGAAACTTGTAAATGTTGCTCGACAGAAAGAAAAAGAAGGAAATTGCTGGAAATAGTAAAAAGGCTTTCATTAAATTAAAAATATATGGTGCTATCATACATACATCTCTCTTGCATTCGTTTCCCTTGCCATGTGGTAGTTTGAATGTTATTGAGTATTTTGTATAACAGATATGACACACTGAAATCCTAACACTAAGACTTCTATTTATACTAATTCGACCCTAACGGTCTCGCTACAAGATCATGCCACGTTTCGAACATGCAAGACAATGTTCTTTTCCTCTTTCCACGTGTCCTCAAATGCTCCAACGCATAACTTTCAAACTTTGAAAGTCCCGCTTTCATTTGAATTTCAAATGCTTTGGTGTTCTTCTGCTTCGAACGCTCTTCTCAGATTTAGCTTCACTGCTGTTTCGAGACCCCTTTGAACACGCTCCCAAGATTACCGTTCGAAGCTTCAAACTTCGACACACTCATTCGAAACACTGGTTCTGCAATTTCGAACGTGGTGTTTTAATTCCATTTCGATCATAACTTCTAGCTCTTTTTGAATTCCAAATAACACTATCAAAATCTTCAGCCAACAGTGGGTCAGCTTATTGAGAAAGGTTTTTCAGTGGTTATGAAGGACAATCTTTTGACGTTGTATGATTCTAATCAGAAGTTGATTATGAAGTCTGAGCAGAGAAGCAACAGAACATTCAAAGTGAATGTAGAAACTTCTGAAGCGGAGTGTCTTAGTGCAGAAGGCGCTGAAGCTGACAATAAGTTGTGGCACAAGAGATTGGGGCACTTGAACTATAGAAGCTTAGGGCATCTAAGTTCTAAGAAGCTCGTACATGGCATTTCGAAGATTGTTAAGCCTCAGAAGTCATGTGAGATATGCATGAAAGGCAAGCAACCCAGATTGCCATTTGCATCAAAAGTAGCCCCCAGGGCAAAGCATGCTCTGGGAGTAGTACATTCTGATGTGTGTGGACCATTTCCAGTACCTTCACTTGGAGGAAACAAATATTTTGTGTCTTTTGTGGATGAGTTCACAAGAATGACATGGGTAACACTCATCAAGTTCAAGCATGAAGTGTTTACTGAGTTCCAGAAGTTCAAGGTGAAGGCTGAGAAGCAGAGTGGTCAGAAGCTGAAGATTCTGAGAACAAATGGTGGAGGTGAGTATAACTCTACAGAGTTCCAGAAGTTCTGTGAGGAGAATGGAATAGAACATGAGGTTACTGCTCCATATACTCCTCAGCACAACGGTCTTGCTGAAAGAAGAAACAGAACTTTGCTTGATATGACCAGAAGTATGCTGAAAGAGAAGAAGTTACCTCACATGTTATGGGGAGAAGCTGTTGCCACATCAGCATATGTTCTGAATAGGTGTCCAACAAAGAAGCTGAAGGAAACTGTTCCTTTAGAAAAATGGACTGGAGACAAGCAAAGTGTTAGTCATCTGAAGGTGTTTGGTTTTGTATGCTACAAACACGTTCCAGATGCTAGAAGATGAAAACTGGATGATAGAAGCAAAACAATGTTATTGGTGGGGTACCACAGTACAGGTGCCTATAAGCTTTATTGTCCAGAAACCAACAAAGTTGAAATCAGCAGAGACGTCATTGTGAAAGAGTCAGAAACATGGGATTGGAACAAGCTTCAATCAGATTCTGGTGTAGTGCCAATACCAGGGTTAGTTTCTGAAGATTCTTCAGAAAGTTCTGAAGACGAGTCAGAAGATGAAAACTCTGAAGATGAGTCAGAATCTCAGGGAGATTCTGATAGTGGATCTGATTCTGATCCAGATTCTGATGATGATCCAGAATTTGGTGGTGATTATACTTCTGGAAGGGAAAACTCTGAAGACATGGGGTCTGGAGAACAAGTTTCCAGAAGTAACTCTGAAGGTGGTAATTTTGAAGGAAATAATTCTGGATAAAGTCCAGAAGCCAGCACAGTTCCGAGTTCTGGAGAAGCTTCAGAACAAGATCAGAGGCCACAAAGAATCAGACGAATACCAAGTAGGTTTGCAGATTTTAGCATGTTGCATGATACTGAAGTAGATTCTGAAGGAGAAATCGTTCAGTGTGCCATGCTAGTAGATTCTGAACCAGTGGGTATTGAAGAAGCGCTCAAGAAGAAAATATTGCTGAATGCCATGAAAGAAGAACTTGAGGCTATTGAAAGAAACAAGACTTGGAAACTGACAGAACTTCCAAAAGGTAAGAAAGCCATCAGTGTCAGATGGGTTTTCAAGCAGAAGCTAAAGCCAGATGGATCAATCGGCAAACACAAAGCGAGACTAGTGGCCAGAGGTTTTCTTCAGAAAACTGGACTAGATTACTTTGAGGTGTTTGCGCCTGTAGCTAGACACGAAACAATCAGACTGGTGATTGCTTTAGCTGCAAACAAAAATTGGCCTTTGATACATCTGGATGTGAAGTCTGCATTTCTGAACGGTCCATTACAAGAAGAAGTTTATGTGTCACAACCTCTTGGATTTGTGAAAAAGAATCAGGAAGGGATGATATACAGGTTAAATAAAGCTCTGTATGGACTGAAGCAAGTGCCCAGAGATTGGAATTTGAAGATTGATTCGTTTTCTAAGGAACAAGGGTTTCAGAAGTGTGAGATGGAGTATGGTGTTTATGTTCATCACACTTCAGAAGGTAATATGATTCTGGTCTGTTTGTATGTTGATGACATATTACTCACAGGAAGTTCTGAACAAGAAACAATTGAGTTCAAGAAAGTTCTGATGAATGCGTTTGAGATGACAGATCTTGGAAAAATGAGTTTCTTTCTAGGGATGTAATTTATATACTCTGAGAAATGAATCATCTTACATCAGAAGAAGTATGAACTAGAGCTTCTGAAGAGATTTGAGCTAGCAAATTGCAAGGTTGCTATCACACCTGCTGATACGAATCAGAAGTTGGATTCTGATTCTGATGGAGAGGATGTGGATGCTACAACCTTCAAACAGATGGTTGGTTCTCTGAGGTATTTGTGTAATATCAGACTTGATTTTTGCTATGCAGTTGGAATGGTCAGCAGATACATGAGCAAACCAAAGTGGTCTCATTACCGAGCTGCTGTCAGGATTCTGAAGTATGTAAAAGGAACTCTGAAATATGGAGTGTTATTTCCTTCTAGAGGAAAGATCAAATCAGAACTTGAGTTATTCTGATTCTGATTGGTGTGGAGATAGAGTTGACAGAAGAAGTACTTTTGGGTACTTGTTCAAGTTTCTGGGAGGTCCAATTTCTTGGAGTTCCAAGAAACAGCCTGTTGTGGCTTTGTCAACATGTGAAGCTGAATACATTACCGATGCCGTAGCTGCTTGTCAAGCAGTTTGGCTTCTAAATCTGCTGCATGATCTGAAGGTTGAAGTTGAGGAACCTCTGAAGCTGGTGATTGATAATAAGTCTGCAATTAATCTTGCAAAGAATCCAGTGCTACATGGAAGAAGCAAGCACATTGAGACGAAGTATCACTTTCTCAGAAGTCAAGTGCAGAAAGGAGTGTTAGAAGTTCTGCACTGTAGCACTCAGAAGCAGCTAGCAGATGTTCTGACAAAGACGATAAAAACAGACCAATTTCTTCGCTTGAGAGATGAAATTGGTATTGTTAACTTCTGATAAGTTACTAAATTACGGGATGGTATTAGAGGATAATTTAGTATTTGCCATATGTAAGATATTCCCTTTAGGCCCTATGTGACATTCTTATCTTTGTTCATTTTGTGTATAAATAATTGTACTAGGTTTACATTTATATCAATCAATTCCTTCGATTATTAGTGGCAGCTTTTTAACATTTATTCATTTTCTCTCTTCTTCCTCAATTTCATCACCTTACACTAACAGCATGGTATAAAAAAATAAAACACAAAACAACACCATATATTAGTAGAAACATCTTTACCCTCTTCTTCTTTTTTCACGAAATAACAACACCATGTTCTAAATTTCCTTCACTAAAATCAAATCAAAATAACTCTCTTCCTTTTGCTCAATCAAACAAAACAAAAACTTCATCTTTTTAAATCTTATTTGATACAAACCAACACAAAATAAAATAGTTGAGACAAAGTATGAGAGAAATAAAGTACCCACATCGGTGCATATGGGTTTGCGTGTCGCAGTTCCGTCGGTTCAAGATCGGGATCTGGGTGGCTGGAGGAGTGATGGCGGAGAATTGTTGTTTGTGTGAATCACGACGGAGGTCGCCGGAAAGTTGGAGATGACGATAGTTGATGATGCTAGAATCTGGATCTGCGGCAGTTTTCGTAGGAAGGATTCAAGACATTATTCCTTCTTCATCTTCTTCCTGCAAATTAGCACAAATATTTGTACAAATTGTTGTGTTGTTATAGTTGTTATCCTTGTAATGTTGTTGTTGTTCTTTGTATCTGTCATAAAAAGAGAAAACAAAATTTTATTGAAAATTAATTTTCCTTTTCTACAAACTTTTGTTAGATGTTAACTTTATGGTTTTGTAATGTTAGTTTTTGGGTTAAATTGTGATGAAAGTTTTATGTGATTATGGTGTGGATTCAAAGGGAAATTTGTGAATCTTTAGATTTTGAAAAACAAAGTTTATGTTACTGTAAAAATATATACTGTGTGGAAATTGTTGCAAAGTAAAAATATGAAGGTAGCAACATTATTACGCGAACATTCAGTCTATGGAACAACTTGTTAATAATATAACTAAAAAGAAATCACCATCAGTAATCATCATTTGGAAATTTGTTTAAAAAAATTTGTTTGTGAAAATAATAACCATAAAAAATTATCATATGGTTAAACAAACGAATTAAAGACACCAAAAGTGCATTACAAGAGATTCATACTCATGACCTTATAATTGCAAGTTTCATATTTCATCAATTGTGTTATATTATTGATTTGTAAATAAACTTAAGTTGAAAGTATATGAAATGTGTGCAGATATTTGCTATTTTAAAAATACAAATAATTTAAAATGAATCATTATATATTTAAATAGGTTTGGAAGCGAATATTTATAAAAATCAAATAATATTATAAAAGCAATGTTTAAAATATTTTTGACTGGACTTGAGAATGAACATCTATAAAAATCAAATGATATTATAAAAACAATATTTAGAATATTTTCGACTGTAGAAATAAAAGGGCGGATAAATTTGAGGTATGACACCCACACTCTTCTCAATAACCATGTCGCCATCATACCATCTCCTTTTAACGTTGGACTTCTTCTTCCAAACGTTAGATTAATCCACTACAACATGAACCACGTTTTGTTTCTGATCTGACCTGATCAGAAATGGACCGTCACGGCTGGCTCCGAGCAGAAAGCTTTTTTGAACGAGGTGGGGGGGGGGGTACCTGCAAGACACTCCGATGCTGAAGTAAGTAGGAGTACGAGCAGATAATAGTAAGTTGAGGTTAGAATGATGAATCCCTGACCCTCTGGAAACAGAGGGTATTTATAGCCCCCAGCGCTGGGCCAAGGTTCCTTCATTGGGCCGGGCAGATTTGACCCAATGGAGGAACTGCCAGGTTCTACGTGGGTAGTGGGGACCCGCACGTGGTCCCCTTCCTGGATGTTCTGCGTGAAGTGCGGGCGGACGGAGACGCGGTCTTTCCGGAGTATCGTTGGGGGAACGGTGGACTGAGTCTGCCCTAGTTGGGATGCTCGAGACAATGTCGAGCTGGACAGCAGGGTGTCGAGCTGGACGTCAGGACGTCGAGCTGGACAGTAGGGTGCTCGTGCTGGACGTCAGGACATGGAGTTGGACAGCGGGATGTCGAGCTGGACATCAGGATGTCGGGCACGGATGTGGCCCCTTTGCTCGGCGTGGTCCTCAGTAAGTCCCTTTGGACTGGGCCTTAGTAATGCTTTTGGGCCTGTCGGGCCCAGTCCAGAACAGGAGCCCCCCAAGTCGTGGTTCCTTTGCGAGGAGCCATGACTTGAACCCAAGTTATTCCCTCGTTGAGGTCTCGTGCCCGGGATAGAGGTGTGGGCCCTCGAGGGCCTCCTCGTGTCGTGCTCGGAGACGTCCTCGGTGGTGGATGCGCGGAGGATCCTTACCGGGCGCGTCGGTCGAGCACACGAGGTATCTTTCGGGAACTGTGCCGCCACCCTATGGGGGTAGGGTCATCATTGCGTTGGGAGCAGTGCGTCGAGGAGATGGAGACCGTGGTTGCCCGAGGTGACGTTTGGTATTCCACGTCATCACTATAAATAGGACCCTTGGGCCCCATAATACGTTTTCTGCTCTCTGTGCTCTCTCTGCTGCTGCTCTTCCAGACTCTCTCCAGTTGCGACTTCCCGTCACAGATTCTTCCATTTCGTAGCCAAATCCCACTCTTTGATCCAAGTAAGTGATCTATCTTCTTCATTTTTCCGTTTAGAATGCATGATTTCTGGCGTTTGTAGTTGTTTTAGGACCGTGCGCGTGGGATTAGCCCGGTAAACTCGTGCTCAGCCCGACACATTCATGTCTAGAACCGGCAAACGCATGTTTGTGGCCGGCACATTCATAGTTTAGGTGATAAACTTCAGGGCTGCCCGGAGTGTTCATGATCCAGGGCGCCTGATTCATGATCGCGCCCGGTATGTTCATGGTCTTGCCCGTGGGCTTCATGGTGCGGCTCGCCATGTTCATACCTCGGGTCGACATGCTTGGAGAGTGGCCGCGCAGTTGGTTTGAGGAGGAACACCGGGTTCAGGACGTCGGGGAGGCAATCATTTGTGGAAACGGACTTATGTAGTCGTGTATGGGACGACATGATTTTGTCGAGCGTATGACTTCGTGCTCAACTGACTGGTTTCCCGTGCTCTGCAGGTAACCATGGCGGATGAGCCGAGCTCCTCCGGACGCCGCGACCGCGAAGAACGGAGTGCCGACGAGTCGGTCACCCTGATTGATACCGTGACCGACCCATTGCTGGAATGGGTGGGCGTCGAGCCGCGGGGGATAGCGTCGGTATATAGTCGGGACGACCGACATCCATTCGCTGTCATTGAAGAGGGTCAAGACCAGCCCGGCTTCCAACAAAACTTCGTAGTTATGCTTCCGTCAACCCGTGCAAGGATTTGCTCAGTTTATCCGAATTACAGCCTCACGATGTATGAGATCGCGTTCAAAGACCTAGGGCTGCGGCTGCCATTCACTGATTTCCAAGCCGGGGTCTTTATGCACTTGGAGCTGGCCCCGTCCCAGCTACACCCAAACTCTCTCGCCTTCATCCGGGCGTTTGAGTTGACGTGTCGATACCTGAGGATCGGGGCGACCATCCCGCTTTTCTTCCGGATATTTCACCTGCAGCGTCAGTCCCGAGGAGGGAAACATAGCTGGGTCTCCCTGAAGCAGTCGAGGAGGCTCTTTAAGATGTATATGGACTCCGTGAGGGGGTTTAAAGACAAGTGGTACGTGGTACGGCCAGTTACCGACGCTGCTTTAAATTCCCTTTTCGAGGAGGAGGGGCCGGTGAGCGACGATGATGGGGAAACGATGATGGGCGACGATGGGAGCCCTGTGTTGGGTCGTAGGGCTAAAATCCCGGTGTACTGGATGTCCCGGCATTACGAGCATGGGACCGGTTATTACCATACCGCCGCCGGGGACATGTGCTCGGAAGACGAGCGGGCGTACGACACTCTTTGTCAGTTTGTCGACAGTTTCCATCCCGCCCAATGGGTTACGCGGGAAGGGGATGATATCCTAGACAAAGACGGTTACCCGACGTTCGAGTCCCGTCCGATTGACACCAAGGCGCTGGTGGAGTGCTCGACATACAGGCAGGCTGCCCGCCTGTTAGGTTGTTTGTTGCTTGAAATTCTTTATTCGTCATTTACTCATGAAGTTTGCTCGATACTGACTTCTCCTTTATTTCGTGCAGGTACGATGGCCAGCCGACATGAAAGGCTCCTGAAATTATCCTGCGACCAGAGGCGAGGCAGGAGGGTCGTGAAGCCCCCACAAGCGACGAGAATGGGCCCGTCACAAAGTCCAAACGCTCCTCAGTCGGCGAGGGTGGAATCGTCGTCGAGCTCGGGGCCCGCGTCGGATCCAGAAGTCGAGGAGATCGACCCCAGTGCCGTTTTGATGCAGCAGAAGAGGACCCGTGTGGAAGGTGGTCCGACTGTCGGTGAGGACGCTGGTGCTGTTAAATCTTTCGCCTTCCCCCCTTGCTTCGAGGAGGCGGGCTTTTTCGAGCGATTTCCTCCGACAGTGGTTGCCCATGAGGCTGCCGCCATAAAAAAGATGAGTAAAGAGGAACGGAAGGCGTATCTGGCCGCCAGCGTGGATGGGCTGGTAAAAATGGCCGAAATGGCTTTGGTGCTATCTGAGGATGGAGGGGATGTTCCCCGTGTTGAAGAACTCGAGCAGGAGAAGGAGGCGCTGACCGCGAGCTCACGGAAGTTGAAGGTCGCTCTGGAACGCTCCGAGGGGATGTTCCGAGAGCAGACCGCGATGCTCGATGCTGAGAGGGAGATGTTGACCCTGGAGAAAGAGAAGTCGGGGAAGTTGACTGAGGAAGGGGAGCTTCTTCGGGGAGACAGGGATCGCCTGGCGGCCGAAGTCGATCGCTTGGGTAAACAGGTCGAGGAAATGAATGCTGCCCTGCAACCTGCCGAAGATGAGCCCGAGGACATAGTAGCTTTGAAGAGTCGGGTGGAGCTGGTCGCCCACATCCGACTCCTCGAGGTGGACTGCGTCGGTGCCCTGGAGGACGGGTTCAATTCTGCGGTCGGTCAACTCTCCTTGCTAAACCCTGGCCTGGTCACTGAGGGTATCGGTCACACACACCGGATTGTAGATGGCGTGATTGTTCCTCCGCCCGACTCTCCGAACGCCGACAATGATGATTCTGTGGAAGTCTGAGTAGGATAGCGGGCCTGCGTGCCCTTGATATTTGTATTCTTTGGGCCTGCGTTCCCGTTTATTGTATGTTATGAACATCGCCGGCCTTCTTGGTCGGTTTACTATTGTTTTGTCGCCTTCGGGCATTTATATCAATGTTGTTTTACCTTTTGGATTTTTTGCCCTTGTTTAAAATCGTACATTTGCATGAATTTTTAGCCTAAGTCACGGGCCCGAGGAGTGCCCGTAAGTGGCTCTGATTTGGCGAGCGAGTCTGCCCGCCTCCGTTTGTATGCGTTCTCGGCCCTATTTCGATTGGCCAGAACCACCTAAGTGTTGCGCTCGAGGGGAGAGATTTTCTTTTGACCCTTGTAGATGGCCCGTTATTCTTGATGGAATGTCGGGCATTTCGGAGCGAGGTTGCTCAGTCGGGCGTGGAGCCCGTTAGGGACGATTCGCCCTTGGCGTGAACTGCCCATCGCGAGCTGGGTGTTCTGCCTTATGGGTACAACGACGGTGGGGCTCGGTATAGCTGTCCACGTCGGGCACTATCGATCATCATCGTTTACTGCGCGATGCTGTGCTATTTTGGTCGTACGTCGGGCTTGTACCTTAGCCTTATACG